TGGCCTCGCTGCCCTGTGCCGCCGTCGGTGCCGGCGGAGGGCAGCGGCAAGGTCCCCCACGAGGTCAGGCCCTGACCTGCGCCCCCCGCAGGCCCTGCCTCCCTCGGGGATACACATCTTTGCCTCCCAGCTGCACACGCACCTGACCGGGCGGAAGGTGGTCACCGTGCTGGCCCGGGACGGCCGGGAGAGGGCCATTGTGAACAGGGACAACCACTACAGCCCCCACTTCCAGGTGGGGATCCCCGCCCTGCCCGGGCCTGTCTGACCTCCTCTCTCCCCACAGCCACAGAAACGCCCCCTCCCAGGGGCTCGTGTCCTGGGCCAGGCCCAAACGCCTGGCGGGAGCGCAGTGGCCAGCCCTCCCCTGGGGGTTTAATTGCTCGGGTGGATTCTGGCCTGTGGCCGATGCGGATCTGGGACCCGGGCAGACCAGTGGTAGCATCTGTCCTGTTCCAATCCCTCCAGAAGCCAAACTCAGCCAGGCCTGGCTCCCCCAAGGGGCTGGGACGAGCTTACACCCGAGAGGGCCGGGGGTGGCTAGAGTGGGGTACAGCTCTCTGAGGTGCCCCTTCCCCCCACTCTCCCCCAGGAGATCCGCATGCTGAAGAAGGTCGTGTCCGTCCACCCAGTGAGTGCCCGGTCAGGGTCACGGAGGCTGGGAGGGCCAGACACAGACAGCAATCGGGGGTAGGGGGCCACGCAAAGGTCCCCCCATGTCTCAGGGCAGGGGCTGGCTGCCCCACGGTGAGGTCCCGGGGAGCTCAGGGGGTGGGGAGACAGCACTCGGAGACGTGCATTTGGCCACCTAGTCAGCCACCCCCAAGACCAAGAGCGCAGAGGGAGCTGAAGACATGGAGGTTGCCCATGGGGCTCTGGTCACGCTCAGGGGAGCCCCAGGCCATGTGGGCCTCGTCCAAGTTCACTGAGGGCTGGGGCACGGCCGACCAGGCCCATGCCTATGGCCGGCGGACGAGGTGACCATGGAAGCCGAGGAGCCATGACTCCCGGGGACACTCAGCTTGTGACCCTCATGTGTGGGGCCCAGGCCACTCCTGGACTCCTCGGTCTGGGGCCGCTGACCATGTGCCGTAGCCCAGTCCCGTGGGAGGGTGGCCCCAAGCGCCTGTCACCCCAGCTGGGCAGGCTGACGGGCCTGTCGGCTCGGCTCACAGGGCGACGTGCTCATCACTTCCTGTACATACAATACGGAAGACAGGACGCTGGCCACCGTGGTGAGTCACCCCTTCTCCCTGCCCCGGCCCCGAGCCCCTGCCCCCGGGGCTTCCCGTGCGGACCGTCCGCACTTTCCGGAGGACGCCGGTCCCCATCTGGGGCGGAGGCTGCTGGGGGCAGGGGAGTGGCTGCAGAGATCCACGTGGACCGCTGCGTAGTTGAATGAGGGAGGGGATGGACGGAAGAATGAACGAATGCGCTGACCCAGAGGACGGGCCGAGCCCGTACCTCTCCCCCCGCAGGGCGGCTTCGGCATCCTGGAGGAGATGTGTGTCAACTACGTGCACTACTACCCGCAGACGCAGCTGGAGCTGTGCAAGAGCGCCGTGGACCCCGGCTTCCTGCAGAAGTACTTCCACCTCGTCAACAGGTGAAGGCATCCCCCCCCCCTTCCTGCCGAGTCCGCACTCGGCCAGAGCAGCACCCTCAGCCCCGCCCGTCCAGGCGGCAGGAGAGAGGACGCTGTTTGCCATCAGCCTGTGAGGCACCCCGAGCAGGAGGCTTGCTGGGGAGGCGGCGGCCTGAGGGCCACTCCGGGGACCCCACCCGTCTGTAGGGGGTGTCTCCTTGCCCTGCTGGGTTCCCCCCGACCTGCCCCTGACGGCCGCTCCCTCCCACCTCCAGGTTCAACAGCGAGGAGGTGTGCACCTGCCCCCAGACCTCCGTCCCCGAGCAGTTTGCCTCCGTCCCCTGGAACTCCTTCAGCCGCGACGTGCTCCAGGCCCTGTACGGCTTCGCCCCCCTTGCCATGCACTGCAACAAGTCCTCGGCCGTGCGCTTCCAGGTGCGCCCCCCGCCCCAGCCTTGCTCTGAGCCCTCGCTGGCCCTGGGCCTCCTGCAGCAGGTCCTGCAGCTGCCTGCCCCCCTGTGCCCACATCAGCCCCAGGCCCCCAAGGACCCCCGTGTGGGGTGACAGGACTCCCCTCCAAGGAGCTGGCAAGGAGCACTCAAAACCGTTAGACAGGCGGGCCCAGATGGACAGCCGGACAGCCCGCGGAGGGAGGACCCTGCAGAGGGAGGAACCGACAGCACCCACTTGGGCAGGGGGCTCCCCGCTCCCGGGCGCCATTACATCATGTGACCAATCTGGGTGGTGTGAGCAGGGCGACAGCCACCTCCCCCGGAGCCTAAAAATAAAGCGAGGGGAGGGCAGGCGGGAGGCGCAGTCTGAGACGGGGAGCGGGCCTCCTCCTCCTGAGGCGAGTCCCAGCTGAGTCAGGTGCCGGCCTGGTGGCGGCCAAGGCTAAGGGGCAGGCCACCTCCTCGCTCCCCCTCCGTGCTACCCCTGGGCACATGCCAGCGCTGTGCACCCCCACTCTGTGAAGATCCCCTGTCTGCCGCTGCCCGAGGCACTTTTCCTGGGCGCGTCTGGGAGCCGGCTTAATTGCTACCGATCGGTCCCGGCTGACACACTCACCAAGACATGGGGGGACAGTGGCAGCGGACAGGGGTGTGGTGCAGCCAGTGGGGGAGGAACAGCTGCTGCTGCCGCCTGCAACTGGGGGCTCTGAGGTGAGGGTGAGGGGGGCGTGGGGTACCAGGATGACCTCCAGGGAGGCCCTCCAAGCAGCCCCGGGGGTGGGGGTGGGAGTTCGGTTTGAGGACAAGAAGCCAAGACGTGGTTGGGAAAATGGCTGGGGAGGCAGCACCCATTTCCCCCCCCAGCCTCAGTTTACCGCGTGGCCCTTCCTCGCAGGGGGAGTGGGATCTGCAGCCGCTGCCCGAGATCGTCTCGCAGCTGGAAGTGCCCGCCCCGCG